GCGTCCGCTTGCAAGTATGGTACTTATCATCAAAAGGCTGATTTACGGTGGGGTACTTATCATCGAAAGGCGTATCATCATCAGTAGTTGATCAAGAGCAGACCCCCTACTACTAGACCTCCCTCAGACCAACCAGTAACCCAAGTCCTCCACTCGCCCACACACAGTCAAGCTGATTTACAGTGGGGTACTTATCATCGGAACCCCTATCATCATCATCAGTCGATCCTGGAGAAGGCCCTTGTTTTGATTTTGTTTGTTTGTTTGTTTTTTGCTGGGGCTGTCTGGGACCTTGACCAGGACTTTCCCCAGACCTCTCCCAGGCGGGCCACCCGCGCCAGCCTGAGGCAACCTGGGCCGCCTAACTGGTAGCCCAGATAAGGTCGCGTCCCTCTCAGGGGATGCAGTATCGATTTGCTCCTTTTTTGCAGATGACCTATCCTTGTTAGTGATGCATCTCCCAGTAATATTGAGTAAATCAAAATTGCAATGAATAGGTTTCGTGCACTTTCAGATATGGCAGTTAACAGGAACGGATGGGCGGCCTAGTACATACTGATAACCTGTGACCGGTGCTGTCCGAGATGAGGGCCCTAGTAGGGATCTTGTGCAGAGGACTCTCTTAGGGATAGACAAGGGTGTATATAGCCTGCCTCCCACATGAACAAATAGCTTGTAACCAACAACTAATCACAATGGTACAGGAACAACCTGAGAACAAGGACAGTAGCAAAACAGCAACAGTGTACATTGTGAACAGTGAACAACCTAACAACAAACATCAGTAACAAACAGCAGTAACGAACAGCAGTAACAAACAGCAGTAACGAACAGCAGTAACAAACAGCAGTAACAAACAGCAGTCAGTAACAAACAGCAGTAACAAACAGCAGTAACAAACAGCAGTCAGTAACAAACAGCAGTAACAAACAGCTGTGTACACAACCGTAGGAACAGAAATAGGTCCACCTATGGGACTTGTAGAGAACATGAGAGAAGGTGGTGAGGGGGGAAGGCCCTTAGAGGAGAGAAGCAGTGCGGAGAGAGGAGGAAGGGAGACTTACCTGGTGGTGGGTCTTCGTCATGAGAGCGAGCTCCAGTGACACACATTCTAAGATTGCACATCGGTGGGTAGCAGCATTGTGCTGTACGGTATTCGATGTCAAGCGGGCAGTGGCAGAGTAGGCTACCGTCTTCGCCAGAAAAGAACTCCGTGACGAGCTAGGATCTATTTAGTGCGGCTTTCTGCCCATCCTGATTTACGTCGTATATTAACAGATTATGGTTTTGAGGGTCATTGTGGCATACTGTGCAGCCACACGGGCCCTGCAGGGCCCGTCCCGGACCTCCAGCCTGTTTCCCTACAGGGAAACTTCCAGGCTCTTGCCTGGAAGCTTCCTTCTGACAGG